TATTATGCATTTGCATGAATAAATTCGTGCTGATAACGATAAGTTTATCAAACAAGCAAACATTATCGCGACTCTAAATTGTTTCTCATTAAGTTAATGCACCTTTGACATCCGGTTTACCATCATTACACCTATTACGGCTATTACAATTATTACACGGGGTGGTAAAACTGTTGATAATATCAGTCTATTTGGTGTAGCAAGTTTTTTCAAGAATATTTTTATTTATCAATTTAAAAAATTTGAAAATAATGAATAAAAGATGAACAATATTGTAATTCTTGAAATTTTTGGAACACAGCCAGTAACGAGTTCATTTAGATTTCAAAGCGAGGGTGATAATCTTTTTTTTTAAATTAAAAATGAAAACATTAAATTATATTAAGGGTATAGATAAAATTTTTAAAGTTTAAACCTACCTGGGATTTTAATTCATTAATGGTTAGGATATTATTTCTTACGTGTCGTTCTAGGACTATACACAAATTATATTATTAAATATAAAAAACAATAAATCACCAATTTAAAAAATAATAAATACCTTTAATACGTTGTTTTAATTTACCATTAGAATCATCATGATTTTCAGCAGAAGATGACGAATCACGTTTATTACGTTTATGTATAGGTGAACTGCGCGTATTTAAATAAGTTAACTCGTGTAAAATACTTGACTGACTACTAACGGTAGTCGTACTATATCGTCTCCTGTGAAAATTATTTTTAAAAAATTTATTTATTATTAAGAATTTGAATATGATTGAAATATAACCTATTTTTAAAAATTAAACATTATCAACTTACTTTCCAAGAGATCTGTTGCTAGTAACCTCTCTGTATATACCTCCACTTCTTCTTCCGGTTTTGTCATTTTGAATACATTCATTGTTGGTATCTTCATAAAGAGCTTTCGATTGACACCTGCATTCATTCATCCAAATGATAGATTGAGAAGTCTGAGCTGATGATGAACTACCTCCTAATACTGGCCAGTTCGCATTCGTAAATAATGCAGAATAAGATTTAGAAGTTCCTGGTTTCATAAATACCGGTGAGCATATACTAAAACATGATGTATTACCAGG